AAGCCACAGAGACAAAGAGAGACACCAACTGACTGAGTGATAGAGAGCCATCTAGCGAGATCAGTATGGACAGGCTCGAAGACACTTTGTCACTCAAAATGAGCCATAATGATCATATTGGCGTGGATGTGGTCAAAGCACCTAAACACTTATAAATCGTATAGTCAGAGAGGTTTCCTCAAGTCCGGTGTTCCCGCGGCACACTAGTGTTGCCGCGAGACGTTGTCTCTTTTGTGTGCCGTGGGTTGGGAGGCCCTGGGCGAGTCGTAGCGCGAAGGGCGGGGCGGCACGGCGAGGGAGGCTGCCCAGCGCGGGGCTCTTCTTCTGCCGTCTGGTCTGCCGCGTGGCCCGCTGGACGTCAACGGGGCTGTAACGTCGATAAGAAACCCGGGAATCTCAGGCTGCGACATTCCAAACCTCGCCTTTTTTCTCTATGGCCAGCTGTTCATCCTGATCATATGCTAATACGTCTACGGTTGAAGCGCGGATAGGCGGAAGTTCATGCGGAAGAGCCTCCGGTGAGCCCCGCGATCTTGGGAAGTGAGTCTTCCCCCTCGAGAACCGCCCCTCTCCTTTGCCGCCCTTGCTTCTTCTTCCGCTGCCCGCGTATGGTCCCGCGCGTAAGCATCCTCTCGGCGCCCAGAGCCCGGGGGGGCTTCCTGCTTGCCACATGGCGAGCGGCAAGCAAGCCTGGCCGGCGGTAGCTTGGCCTACGCATAAAGCTCCGCCACTGGAGCCCCCTTTGCCGCCCCCGCCGCCTGTCGGCCCGCCTGCCCTCCTGGAGGTGCCGGGCAGGGACCGTGGCGGAGTCTGCGCCTCGTTCCGGAGGGGGAAACCAGACCTGGGACCCCCGCTGATACGGTGAGGAAGCGCCCTTAATCGCGGAGTCCCCGGAGACACCATCTACCCCTCCAGTTCTTCGCTCGCATCCGTCAATCATGGAAAGAGAGCCAGGGACACGTTGCAGAGGGTGAGGGCAGCTCCCCTGATCACGGGGCCCAAAACCAGAGCAGGGAGCCTTTGGACCTACTTAATCTTCACAGCCCAAACATGTAGCTCACATGTCTTCATGGGGCCCTGCCCACATTCTTCACGTGCCACGAATAATTTGAGGCTAGACTTTGTCTCTGACCTACATAGGTGCATATATAAGAAAATATGTTTGCCAGATCGACAGTACCACGTGCGCCGCTAGGAGTGTATTCCATTGTGTTTATGCACGAAAAGGATCCCGAGGCGCACCATCAAATAGTTTTCGGCGCGGTGACACTGAATCTCTTGGCCTGAGCACCTTGGAGAGTTTCCTGACCTCTCTCGTCTATACGTGCAACCCTGCTTCTAAGTCCTGCCACATCTTTTGTTTTCTATGCATTGAGAGTTAGCTCAATGATCATCGCTATTTGATCTGTGGGACTAGTTTCTTAAATTCTGTTGGTCTAGATTTAGGTTGTAAAATTCTCGCTTATGGAACTTGTTCCATATACGAGCCAGACACTAATGTTGGATCAAGTATGAGTTTAGAGACTCTCGAGGTTCGCTAAACATCTAGCTTTAGTGCAAGGTGTGAGTGACGTCCTCTGTCTCTACGGATTGTTCCTACATTCCATGTAGCAGAGACCCTTGCATTATGTAGGTGGGGGATCATTGCCGAGATAGGCCGCTTTCAGAACGGTAGCCATCTTGGATCCAAAACGAGGCTGGACGGGCGAGATTCTTCTCTGCTTCCCTGTGCGGATGAATCATAAAGGTAAAGGTACCCCTGCCCGTACGGGCCAGTCTTGACAGACTCTAGGGTTGTGCGCCCATCTCACTCAAGAGGCCGGGGGCCAGCGCTGTCCGCAGACACTTCCGGGTCACGTGGCCAGTGTGACAAAGCTGCTCTGGCGAGCCAGCGCAGCACACGGAACGCCGTTTACCTTCCCGCTGGTAAGCGGTCCCTATTTATCTACTTGCACCCGGGGGTGCTTTCGAACTGCTAGGTTGGTAGGCGCTGGGACCAAGCAGCGGGAGCGCACCCCGCCGCGGGGATTCGAACCGCCGACCTTTCGATCGGCAAGCCCTAGGCGCTGAGGCTTTTACCCACAGCGCCACCCGCGTCCCGGATGAATCATAGCATTGTAGAATTCGAAGGGATCGCATGGGTCATTTAGCCAACCCATGCAAGGAAATTAAAATATGCCAAGAGAACTACGTAATATGTAATGCATGCAGGTTATGACAAGAGAAGCACAAAGTTCAGTCTTGAAGTTGTCTATTTGCAACTCGCGACTCGGTTGACCCTCTCTCACGGAAAGTGTGGGTGATGCGAGTGGTGGGGCCCAGTGAGCTAGTCCTTGCCTCAAACCACCACGGAAGCCCACTGTTACCAATAATAATTGCTTACGAACTTATTAGACTTCTAACCTTTCCTACAAGGAGCTCAAGGTAGCTTCTCCCCATTTTTATCCTCACAACCAGTGCTTTTTTTCTTTAAAAAAATGTTTAGGGTACGTACTCTCGTGTTTTAGGGACACGGGTGGCGCTGTGGTCTAAACCACTGAGCATCTTGGGCTTGCCGATCGCGGAAGGTCAGCGGTTCGAATCCCACGACGGGGTGAGCTCCCGTTGCTCGGTCCCTGCTCCTGCCAACCTAGCAATTCGAAAGCACATCAAGTGCAAGTATATAAATAGATACCACTCCGGCGGAAAGGTAAACGGCATTTCTGTGCACTGCTCTGGTTCTCCAGAAGCGGCTTAGTCATGCAGGCCACATGACCCGGAAAAACTGTCTGCGGACAAACGCCGGCTCCCTCGGCCAGTAAAGTGAGATGAGCGCGCAACCCCAGAGTAGTTCGCGACTGGACTTAACTGTCAGGGGTCCTTTACCTTTACCTTTTTACTCTCATTTTCCTACCCATATAAAATACTATTCCTCAATGAGGCCAAACTTAGATTAACATAATGTTTAGGGGTATGCATACCCCTGCGTCCAGTCTCCCCCCCCCCCCAGAAAAAAGCAATGCTCACAACAACCCTGCGAGGTAGGTTATACTCTGAGTGTGTTCCCAGGTTGCAGCTGGAATGCCAGGAGGAGGAGGAGGAAGGCAGTGGGCAGATGCACTAGCAAGCAGATGGACCTAAGCAGCCCCCAGGAGATGTTCAGCAAGCTCTCCACAGTGATCTCCTCCTTCTTCTAGAGGGCACAGGAGAGAAGGCTGGAGACAGGTGGATGGTCCAGAAGCCTGGCCTCCCACCTGCAAGGAGGCTGCAGATAGCATCCCCAAGCCCTACAGGCTGCACACAGAGGATGCTGATTTTACCTCAGCAGAGCTGGTGACCATTGCTCTAATGGAAAAGTTAACAAAAGATGCCCAAATCCTACACTCTCCGAAAAGGAACAACAACTTTTCAAATGTTTTGCATCCATTTACTGAATACATTAAGATAAAAGGACCATGGCTCGCAACCACCCACCTCTCATGGGCTGCTGTGCACAAACATTATTGAATAGTAATGTATTTGAGAAGGACAATTGTTAGGAATTATAATGCTGTTTTTTGAATACTAGCATCTCTCCTCCCTTCTCACTGCCTTGCTTTCTTTTCTTTAACTCACTTGCTTTGTTGTTACTGCTTTTTGTGTATTATAAAATGAAAATAAAAACAATCACCCGCCAAAATTGGAATTGGAATCAAGGGTCACCAGCTGGACTCATCCAGGGCTTTGCCACCTGATGGTTCTATTCCCAGCTCAGCTGGATAAATGCTTGCACAGTCACAATTGCTTGCAAAAGGGTGTTTGTCAAGGCATGAATAAGGAGGGGACGACAACAATGCACCAATTTAACCTCGAAATGTTAATACAACATTTAAAGGGCATCTCCCCTTTAATTTTTATGCAAGAGTTAGCAGACATGGTGATGGCAGGGGAAATCACACCTGCTGAAAACACTCAAATTGCCAATGATCAAGATGGCAACAGAGATAGTTGGGAGACAGCTCTTCATTGTACTTACAGAATTTTTTTTTAAGAATTGCTTGATTCTTTAGTGAGGAGAAGTTGGCAGAGGGGACGAGGGGTTTTTTTGGCATGACATCTACAAGGCAACAGGATAAGACTTACAACTTTGTAAAAGTTTACAACCATGCCATAAAGAGTTTTTAGAACACTTTCCCTAGGTCTTTTGCTGATTGATATCCAATACCCTTTTTAAATGTGTGTTTGTTTTGGTTCATATTTTTATTACGTGTTTTGTGTTTTTTACATTGTGATTTTACGTTGTGAACTGCCCTGAGATCTACAGGTATCCAAGATCGTATACAAATTTCTGGTTTGCAGCCTGTGTTTCCAGTTAGGGCTTTATCCACACTTATCTTTTGATCCACTCTTTCCAGGCACATCTCCACACTTTAAAGCTCCATGTCCAAGGTTTTTCTTTCTTCCTTTTTTTTCTTTCCCCCCAGATCTTTCCCCAATGAAAAGCTGCTCTTTTTAACACTCAATCAGAGCAAACATTGATTCGGGTTTTCTGCAGATTGCCATTTTCCTCTGAATCAGCTTTAAAGAGTGAGTTTTTGTGGGGAAAGATCCAGGGCAAAAGAAGAAAAAAGGGCACTCAGAGGTTTAAAGTATGGGACTGTGTCTGGAAAGAGCAGAGGAAAGGTTAATGTGGATAAGTCTTTAAACTCTGCAGGAAAACTAGACAGAGAGAAATCAACCAAAGGAGTAATGCCAAGATTCAACTCTGCTCATTAAATTGTAAAACTGGGACCTGGAGGCTTTAAGTCCCTGGGGATCTCCCATCTCACAGAGCATGAATCACCACAAAGGAATAGGCAGACAAGATGTATCACCCATTATCTGTTAGAAAAGGGTCCCCTTTTATCACATACACAGCCCCAAAAAGACAACGACAAGAATCCACCAACAGTATACGAATCAATATGGCTAACCTGATTCAAAAACACCCACTCACCCCACTCACACACGAAAACCAAAGTTCACCACAGCCAATCACAAGCAACACAAGCAAATAGCAAAGAGAATCTGCACAAACGATGCTAACACAAAACCCCACACATACATTAAGCAAAATAGAAACATCGCCTCCTGACCCCACCCCCACTCGCCTTTCCCCCTCCACATCTTAAACACTAATGCCTCAACAAATGAAACTGACCTATGGAAAATGTAACTTGAAAAAAGAGACACTGCTTATACCTTTGTAAACCAAGAAAACTTTAATAAAAATATAATTTAAAAAAGAAAAGGAGAACAATAAAAACATCCACTCTATACACAAACACCTTAGACTGAACCGTGGAACATTTATGGAAGAAGCCTGAAACACTAATTTAAAAAGAGAAGTTCTTAAAGAAGAGGAGGTAAACTTGTCAACTGAAGTTGTTCAAGCTGAAAACTCAGAATGGTTAACTCAGGGGGATTGGAGTAGATTTGATTTGTCCCCTGAAGAGGATTGGATTCAGGTATCTCTCATGCTGAAATTCTAGAAGAAAACAGCCACTGAGAAGAACCAGAATACATGGACTGACTAAAGGATCAAGAGGAAGATGAAATTCATAGCATCATAGAAAGGATGTGTGCAAATGATTCATCAGAAGAACAGCACCTGGGCATTCACATACCATGCAAATGTTTCCGAAGGTGTCCACGGAGTCATAGTGTGGTGCTTTGTCCTCCCTTTGACAAGTATTTGCAACAGATAATATTTTGCTTTGGAAGAGTGGAGCAGGACACTTCTCAGGCACCACTCAGAAGCAACTGGCACTCCTCAGTGGCAGAGCCTTCTAAGCAAAGCATGCTGTTCCTCCGTTTCCAGCTGTTGATTTTCCTCCTTAACCTGAATTTATCCAGATGTGAGGATAAGAGGAATTTGATCATCTCCGCACTGGAGAAAGCAACTTTGTTCCTGGAAGAGCAATATAATGAACTCAACATAGATGGAGTGCTTGGATATCGTCTGTTGCAAGGTACAGTTCAGCTACTTTGGAGACATATAGCACAACCCTTAGGCATGTTTACTCAGGAATAATGGCTTATCCACACTCACCTTCCCTCCCCTCTTTCCAGGCATGGTCCGTGCGCTTTTGGTTTTTTAGCTCCGGAGCTTTCCCATGAAAACTCGCTCTTTGAAGCTGAACTGAAGCAATCCCTAGAAAATCTAAAATGGCATTTGCTCTGACTGAGCAGGTTTTTGCAGGGAAAGCTCAGGGCCTACAAAATGTGGGCCTTTGTCTGCGAAGAGTAGGGCAAAAGGAAAGTGTGGCTGAGCCCTAAGTCCCATTATGTTCAGTGGGGCTCCCTCCCTAGCTAAGTGTGTTTTAGACTAATTCTTCCTGTTACACCGCCTTTCTTTCTTTCTTTCTTTCTTTCTTTCTTTCCTCTCACCTCGTCTAGTCTGGGTGTGACTTTATTCACTCGTCTAGTCTGGGTGTGACTTTATTTTGTACAGTCGTTTCCAAACGTCTTTCTTGGGTGAGGAGTGCTTCCCACCCCTCTGAGCATTAAAAACCAAGCAGCTTTTCCTTCAGGTTCTTCTAGACAGAGGCAAAATTGTCTTTGTTATAACACTGAATGAAGGGGCCAGAAAGTAAATAAATAAGTGTAGATTTATTTAGGGGGGTGGGGAGGGAGAGAGAGAGAACACTAGTGCAGAAATGTGAAGAACTGTGGGCTGTGTCCAATGCTGGTCCTACCCAGAGTAGACCCATTGAAGTAAACAGGCATGGCTCACTTAGGTTCACCAATGTCAATAGGTCTACACTGAATAGAACTTAGTTGGATATAACGGGGGGGGGGGGGGAATTGACCCACCCCAACACTCCATCCTTTAGAGGCAGGATTCAAAAATATTCTTTCCTTCTCTAAATATCCAGCGTATCTGAATGGAACAATGGAGAAATGGGCCCCGGTGTCTGGATTAGAGTCTGAGCAAGTGCGAGTGCGACGCTTGAATGCGAAGGTGTCAGCTTTGATCGAAAAAGCAAAGCGTGCTCTAGAGAAAAACGAGCCGGATTCTTACAGAGGTAGTATCAAATCTCACCATAGTGGAATGGGGGGGGGGCTGTGGCTAGAGAGGATGGTAGGCGGGCAGGAATCTGTCTTTAGGGCAAAGACGTTCCCCAAATATCTGCTATCCCCATGTTTCAAGGTGACTTATCACAGGGCTGACAAGGCTCAACCCCAGGGGGGAAATGTCGCCCTACAGGCCTCTCTTTCTGGCCCCTGGAACTCTCCCCAGGCCACAACCCTCAATGGCCCTGCTCCACCCACCCAGAAATGTTTCTGCCTGGCTGGAATGTGTCCCTGAACTCTGATAATCCCTCCCGCTGGACTGGTTGGAGTATCAGGGCCAGACTGTCCATGAGGTACACCTCAGGCAGCAAAATGGGATGGGCCACCCCTGTGGAAGACAGAAAGGGGTGTGCAAATGTGTGCAGAAATTAGCCTACTGAACAATGGTAAAATTTGCATGCATTGCCCCACCCACTTTCACTTCTGGCCCCACCCACCACTGGCATATGGCCCCCAGGAGGTTGCCAAGAAGGGAATGTGGCCCTTGGGCAGAAAACTATTCCCCACCCTGTCTTATTATTATTATTATTGATTTTCATTTGCAAATTTAATAAGAAGAAAAGAGAAAAAAGAAGAAAAAGAGAGAAAATAAAATAATATATGATAAAACAATAGGCTACCGTCAGTTCACATTGCAGTTACAGTGATCGTCAGTATATTAATCTTAAATGAAACATTTATATGCCAGCCCTCCCTAAGTTCAAATAGGTATCAACACAAAATTGACATATGTATGAAATATGTTTGAATGTAGTCAGGGCAATGAGGCCCTCAGGCAGGATGTATCTGCCTCTTAGCCATGTAAGGCTTCACAGATTCACTGTTGTCATCCATTCCTACCCCTGTCCTATTGGGACATAGGAAGCTCCCCTATTCCAAGTCATAACAATGGTCTCTCTAGCTCAGTATTATTGCCTACAAACTAAGTCATTGCAAAATAATAACAAACTATTATCTCTGCCCCTTGCCACCCCCTCCCCCTTTGCAGCATTTCATCAAGCTTTAAGCCCAGGGTTTTGGAAGATTCCCCATCAGTGGGCTCAGAATGACCCTCCTGTTTCTTTCTCCCCAACCAATGGCTCATGTCTGGACTTGGAAACAAGCGATTACTGCCTATCCATCCTGCTAGGATCAGGGTAGGAATTTTGCTTACCTCTCTTTCATAGCTAGTGTTAATATTGTGGCTCTAGATCAGGGGTTGGCAAGGTTTACCTCGCCTGGGCTGGTTCATTTCTGCGGAGATCGCGCCGCAGGCCAGATCGCGTCTGTGCAAACGTGGTTTCCGGCGCCACATAAGCGAGTCCCCGCTCTGTGCTGCGCCGGTTTAGCGCAGCATGGGGGGACTTGCCAAGCAGGCGGCTCGGTTCGGGGGCGGCTCGTGGGCCATTTAAATGACCCCTGTGGGCCACTTGTGGCCCATGGGCTACAGGTTGCTGACCCCTGCTCTAGATTTATATATGTAAATGAAACCATAAATCCTAAAGACGCCACAGTGTCTGTTGACCTTCATTTTAAGAAAACCAAATGCTAGGTAATGGCTGGAACCCCAGGAGTCTCTCGCCACCTAGAGATTGGGGTGCATGCAACAGTATCTTGGTTTAACACCACAATACTGGTGTGTCTCGTGCAGTCCAGGTTACCCCGAAGCATGGGTTGCCTGTTGCACAAATCTCTCACCTGTCTGGCTCTTGAAATTGCCTAATGCCATGCTTTTCTACAAAAGGGCTGGTGGCACACCTTGCCTTGTTCCAGATAACTGCAGAAGCATCATGATAAAAACACACTGCTCGGGATATGGCCTATCCCATCAGCTTTTCTACTTCCTGTTTGCAGAGATGGTAAGGAGTTGGCCATGTGCTTTGCTTACAGGGCAGAAACATTAATGGGGGGCGGGCAGGGGTAGGGAATGGGAATGAGCCTAGCATTATGTTCAGAATACCACCTTTCATCCAGAATCAAGAACCTTGGATGAAAAGTACCATGAATACTACTACTACTACTACTACTACTACTACTATTACTACTAGAGTAGTACTACTCTAGTGGTAGCGGTGGTGGTGGTAGAGTAATTTATTACCCACCTTTCACTCACAGGACCCAGGACCGGTGACAATTTAATTCAGAATTAAAAACAGTTAAAACAGGTTAATGTTTGCAAATGACTTCTAAGGCACATTGTACATAAATGTGTGTGCATGAACAGATTAGTCAAATATTCATAGAATAAGTTGTACTGTCTGTATTTGATGTGGTTTTAACATTCAGTGTCAATATTTGACAGCATTTGATAGTTGACATGCATTGGTTTAGTACTGGGTAGTATTTAATGGTTGACATGTAATGGTATTTAGTACTTAAGAGCAGCTGTTAGGTGGAAAGCACTTATATTTAGGGCTAACTGCACGTTACATAATTTTGTAAATTGCAGTTGGGTTATGGGTTATGGGGTATTGGGTTTTGAGTTGTTTGTTTTTTTAAAAGAATCCTTGCTAGGAGTGGGGGTGGTTTCTTGCAGGACCACAATGCAGCCACTATCTTGGTTGAAATTGCCCTTCCAGTGCTTCAGTTATCAATAGGATATCTAAAGACGTATTATACCACTTTAAAGAGTCATGGCTTCCTACAAGGAATCCTGGGATCATACTTTGTTACAGGTCCTGAGACTTCTTAAGAGACCCCCTATTCCCATTCCAGAGTGACAATTCCCTGGGAATTGCTAGGGGAAATGACTGATTGTTAAATCACTCTGGGTATTGTAGCTCTGTGAGTGGAATAGGGGCTTTTACCTGTGTAAAACAATCACAAAATGCCATCGGGTTGAAAGCACACTCATTTTGAATCTTTTAAGGTTCAAAAGTCTCATTCTAGATTTTCCCACTCAATGTGTCCTGGCGAAACTGGTAATCTTCAGAGATTTGAATATTTGTGAATATTCACACTGGTTCTCTCTAAGTACCTAGTTTAATGATGATATTGGGAGGAAGAGCAATGACAATTTCTCTGATTAGCTGAATATTTTCATTCTTCACCATCCCTTTCTTGAAAAGCAAAACTGTGCTACAAGATGGTATATTAAAAACAGTCTTTCTTCCCCTGATTCTTGTTCACATCTAGAAAGGATGCTCGGATCCCCTCTTCCACAATGCACAATATTACAAGAGTGTGTTCTGTCACTTAATGATGCAAATCAATGTCGACGCTGAAAAGCAAGCGCTCCTAGGGACCGTGGGAGACCTTTTTACGGAAAACAGTAAGTGGCCTTACTGCTATGTTGTAGTGTCACTGTTCAAGGCAGTGTTCTTCACTCAGGGAACCACTTTACTGTGGTACCTTGGTTCTCAAACTTAATCTGTTCCGGAAGTCCGTTTTAAAACCAAAGCGTTCTAAAACCAAGGCATGCTTCCCCATAGAAAGTAATGCAAAATGGATTAATCCGTTCCAGACTTTTAAAAACAACCCCTAAAAAAAGCAATTTAACATGAATTTTACTATCTAACGAGATCACTGATCCATAAAATGAAAGCACTAAACAATGTACTGCAGTCACACAATCAATCAGTAGCTGAACTGGGTTCCACACAGTCACAAAAACAAAACAAAAAGAGCCACAAAAACAAAAACGCAAAATAAATAGCAAAAAACAGACAGACCTCAGTGTAACACTCAAAACTGAAGTATGGCACTCAAAACGGAAGCATAACACTCAAAACGGAGCATGTTCGGCTTCCGAAAAAAGTTCGCAACCCGTAACACTTTATTCCTGTTCCAGAATGTAGGACTATTGTTCTTTCTTTCTTTCTTTCTTTCTTTCTTTCTTTCTTTCTTTCTTTCTTTCTTTCTTTGTTGTCTGATGGGAAAGAGGAAGGAGCTAAGTCAGAATGCTCCGAGTGTATTATATGTAAATAAAGTAGATTAGCCAAAATGCTGTGCTACTGAGTTCTGTTACGTGAACTGCAATACTCTGCAGGATCCCTATGCATGCTAATGCCTTTTAGCATCAGTCGCTGTGATGGTCTGGCTGAAAAAAGCTTTTGAAGCTCGTGAACGATCGACCAGGAGGGAGAGGACATGCCAGTCGGGCATGTGTCTCTGCCAGGGTCCTACATGAAAGTAGGACAATCCTAACAGGTACCACTGCATAAAAATGGGACCAACAAATCCTCAGAACATTTGTGGTATGAAAAGTTAAAGGATTTCAACAACAACAACAACAACAACAACAACAACAACAACAACAACAAAAATGCAGGATAAGCACTGAACGGAAATGAAGCAGTATGTCCACCCCAAAACTTTTGCGGGCATGAATAAGGTTGGAGGCAGGATTGTGTTGGGCCATCCAAATAGCACCATGAGCACAAAGCACCACAAATGCACAATAAGAAGGGCAGGGCCCCATGAAGACATGTGAGGCTACCATGTTTGCTGAAGTTAAGCTGGTCCAAGTCTGCTTGGTGTTTGGGTGAGAGACTGACTGCTGGGTTCTATGATGGATGGAAAGAAGGAAGGATGGATGGAAGACAATAGTTGCCATTTAACATGTTTGCATTCTGTCTCTCAGTTATGTTTTGTGGCCTGGCTGGATTCTCTGATTTCTATAAACCACGGTGGCTGGACATCATTCTCAACTGGCAAAAAAGGGAAAGAGGATGTTTCTGGATGTTCGGTGAGTGAGCACTGCTGTTTGATTCATCCAGTGCTAGAGTGCAAATTACATAATTTGTGTTTTTAAAAAAAAATCTATGGAGAAAATGAATGCTGCAACTTGAGTAGAGTTGCTACAAATTCAATAGTATTGGGCAAATTTTGGGGAAGGGGGCACCATCGTGGCCGCTCCCCCAGACCCTTGCCATGCACCCCCCTACCGAATCAGGTACCACACCCCTGTGGATGGCGAGCCACGCCCCTGTCTGCTCTCCGCTCCCAGTGCCGGAGCATGCAGCTCTGCCACTGGGTGAGTCTAGCTTTGTTCACGCCCTCCGAAAACCTCCCATTTTTTAACTTACTCTGGTTTAAGTCGCACTGGCTGAGGGACTTACCCTGGTGTATCCCTGGCTCAACCGGCATAAGGTACCCAAGCTGGGAAAGTCCAAGAACTGCCAGATCCAAACTCTCATCTTGGCAGATCTTGGGCTTGGATTGCACTGTTGGTAAAGAATAAGGCTACGATCCTATACCCTCTTACCTTGGAGTAAACCCTATGGAAGAGAACAAGACTTACTTCGGAGTAGATGTGTCTATGATTACTCTGTAAGTTCCATCAAGCTCAGTGGGAAATCCCACTGAGTAACATGCACAGTTTGCCTTGTAAGTTTGTGACTGAATGAGGACCCACATTCTAAAGCACATCTTCTGCCTTCAAGCAAATGACTCTTTCTTTCTCGGTGCCCTGTTAGACTCCTCCAGCCCAGTTTCTGAAGACCATCATAAGGAAGCACGAAGAGTTAAGAGAACGGAGAAGATTCTTGAAGGTAAAGATAATGGCAACTGGTGTGGGTGCATAGATAAAAATTGTTTCCCAACCTATCACACATTTTAAAAATAATGTACCAAGTCACCCATGAGTAGACCCATCGGATCCATTGATTTCAATGGATATGCTACTCTTAGTATGTCTAATACTTTGTTCAGAGACCTGCATTGGCTACCAATTTGCTACCAGGCAAACTTCAAGCTGTTACTATTAGTATATGAAGACCTTAATAACTTTGGAACAGTTTATCTGTGAGATTGCCTTACCCTGTATGTGCCCGTTTGACAGCTTTGAGCTGCAAAACTAGCACCATTACAAGTGCCACATAACACTCGTTCCATGTTTGTAAGAAACCTATAAAGCACAGAGCCCATTGTTGAGACTATATAGTTTGTGGGAACCTTCCCAGAATTTGCTAAACTAGAACTCCAAGCATCCTTTGTCCATTGGTCATGCTTCCCGGTGCCGATGGGAGCTGTAGTTAAGCAACAACAGGAGGGCCAAAGGTTCCCCACCCCCAGTTTAAATTACGACCCTCTCTTTCCTTTGATAACCAAAAGTCTCATTTTCTTGCAGGTGAATGTTCTTCTCACAACACCGCCGTGGCCGTAGGAGCGATTGGAGGATTTCTCCACTATGCGTTCTCATGCTTTCATGCTTCTTTCTTCTTATGCAACTGAGCTAAACTTTCTGGCTTTATTATGCAATGCAGGACTTGTCGCTCTTCTCTCTAGGTACATTTTGGGTGCTAATCAACATGACTGTGCTCTCAACCAGGGCACTGGAAAAATCATATTCATATTGTGGGGTGCTGTACTGCTCCCTCATTAGGACAGGGAGGAGACTCACCGTCTTCTTGAACTGTCTCCCCAGCATGGGGCAGGGGCAGTGATGTGCTGGCCCAGGATCTTTGGGATTGAAGACCTCTTGCAATTTCTGTAAGAAACTTCTGTAAGAACACTCACGCTCAGGAAGCAAGGGAGAAACGTGCTAAGAGGGTGGCATGCTTGGCAAATCCACACCGTGATCAGCTCCCGCCTGGAAACCAATGTCCCCACTGTGGAAGGATGTGTGGATCCAGATTTGGCCTCCACAGTCACTTACGGACTCATTGTTAAAACCGTGTTTATGGAAGACAATCTTACTCAGGTACGAGTGATCGCCAAAGACAACAATTTCTGCAGCAGGGTCTCTGTCTCCATTGTCCTAGAGTCGCCCAATGAGCACGAAAGGGGAGCTGTTTAGCCACGGAATGCTCCAAAGCTAAGCATTTAGGGACACTGAAAACACACGGTGCTGCAGTTTTAAGGGAATGAGTGGTGTGCATGTTCTGTTGTGCACAATGGAACACAACTTAAGTCAATTTCTTCAACCCAAGGACCACATACCAGTGGTGTGGGTGGGGCCAGAGGCAAAAAGTGAGTGTACAAAAGTGTACAAAAGTTAAGAGTCACAGCAGATGTGACTCTTAACTTTTGTACAGTAGGCTGCATTCCAGCCGCATGAAAGTCAGAGGCTTCTGCACAGAGGTTTGTGCTCTAAATGTCTGGTGCAGATGTGGCCTCAGACGGACAGCTTCATCCACACCTAGCCTAGGCGTCACTTACCTTTTAATCTCTTTTATCCAATCTAATTAGGCTCCTCACTTGTCTATCTGGCTCTATTTGCATTGTTCCCTCCTTCCGCACCGTGTGCTATCCTGCTTCTCCCAGTCTTCCATATCTTCTGCCGTCTCTATAGTTTTAACCAAATAATTGCCATTTCCATCTGAATGTGCCACCCATGTACTTAGTCTTTTTTTTGCAATAAACTGCATTTTCAAGTACCCTAAGATCTGACTTGTCGTCTCTCCACCTGGATGCTCAGGTTTCTGCCATGGTTGATCACGATTTTTGGTTCAAGACCCCAACAGGCATTGTTCAAGTCTGCAATGCATCTACACTCAAGTTGTAAAAGTGTGTTAATAAACCATATTTCTTAAAGACATGACAGTCTCTGCTGTGCTTTGATTCCTAATGGAAGCATGAAGAACCCCCTGGAATCTTGCTACCACTCAGTAGATGTTGGGGTGGTGCAATCTTTGTGACAATATGAAACAACCCCTGCTCAAGTGTGCATGTGTGATTCCCCCCCCCCAGCTATTCAGAATGCAGAGAGAAAATGTATGTTTAGAAGACATAATGTTGCTTTTCTTGACACTAAAACAAAAACAAAGCAAAGTCTCCCATGTATATAGTTATTTTGGTTTTGAGCTAACCAAAAGCCAGAGGGATGGTTTTGAGTTTGGAATGCACCGGAGACTAGAAAATCAGTCTCAAACGTATCTTAATAAGGAATTCCCCCCTGAAGCACTTTAAAGAAAGCTGGGAGACAATAATAAGGCCCCAGGCACCATGTCTGAAAGTTAAACAGGTCCTTTACTAGAAAAAAAACTACAGCTAACTTTTAATGATACCCCACATTATGCTTTACATAGCAGTAGCTGAGGGACAGTTCCTCCAGGAACAGGCTAAAAAATAAACACTGCAAGAAGTTAAGTCGTTTGCATCTCTTACGAGCCTGCTGTTCTCCTAGTGTGCATTATCTGGATAAAGATCCAGCAGCTGGATCTGACCCCCAAGGCATTTACATCTGTCCATTATCCAATCCAAGGTATTTCTTAAAGCCATGGCTGCTAGTAGGGATGTGAGAAGCCATTGTTTTCTGCACCACCCTGTATTTCACATGCATTTCTTTATAATATTTATATCCCAACTTTCCTCCAAAGAGCTCAAGGTGGCGTACATAGTCCTCCTCCCACCCCCCATTTTATCCTAACATCAACCCTGTGAGGTAGAAATAAATAAATAAATAAATTAAAATTAAAATTGTCCAGTAGCACCTTAGAGACAAACTAAGTTTGTTCTGGGTATAAGCTGGACAATTTTTTAATTTTTTAATTTATTTCAATTACGTCAGACCAACACAACTACCTACCTGAACCTGTGAGGTAGGTTAGGCTGAGAGCGAGCGACTGACCCCAATATCACCCAGTGAGTTTAATGGCTGAGTGGGGATTTGAAAGCGAGCACTGTTTCCATTCTGCTGCAGATCATCTTCCAAAAAAACCCCACAACCACTGTCCACTGTGGCAAAATCACACACTTAATGTAATTTACATAATTCCACAAATGGCATCATCGTTATGTTCTTTCACCCCTTCGTTTCCATGCAGAGGAAACACACTGCAAATAGGGGATGACATAATCAAGAATGTCTTTTCTGTGGACTGAAAGCAACTGTGCCAATTGTATTCACTGGATTCCAACACTTGCCCAGGGTTCGGTTCCCTTGGAATGAGGCTCAGCAGAGACAGTGGTGTCTTTAGGATATGCAGTTTTATTCAGGCATATATACAAACTGAGCAGCACAGAACACCTCTCCCAACTGGTCCCCACAGCTTCACCTTGCCTCTTGGGTGGGCCAGCCCTGGCCTACATCCACATGAACCTGCCAGTGTGGCAGTGTGTCTTACTGTACAGAGGACAACTCTCTCCATCTGATGGGTTCTCTCTTTGAAGGACTGCCTGGCCCAAGAGCAGTTTAAAGACAAATAATCCCAAGGAAGGAGAGAAAAAGGGGCCTCAAAGTTGCCCACACCCAGTGAGCACCAGCAGAGCAGAGTGAGGAGGCACACTGTGGGGTCTCAGGAAAAGCCACAAAGTCCTTGTCCTGTTTTTTGGTTAGCCTAACTGACGCCATTTTGCTTCTGTAAAAAAACTGCCTGCTTTAGAATTTAGGAGCGTGAGCCACAAATATGTGAAGACCAGATAAAGTTGCTAGGCGATTTTCAGCAAAACCTCCCTGCCAGGCAACTCTCCCCTTCAAGACCTTGAGGGCAGGGTGTTTTGATCAGTGCAATGAACTTTGATAGGGGGAAAGGGAGGGGGTGCCTATAAAAAGTATGAACAAAGGCTATTTGGAGAGGCTTCACCATCGCACTGGTGAGTGTGGCTCGCCTGCTCTGTTTTACTCAGCTGAATAAATGAGTGATTATGGGAATCTCCTCTGTCTATAGCACTTATTGGCTTTTCAGTGACAGCTTGGGCCCGATTAGCGGACCCCAACAACACAAGTCACCTGCTCACCATCTTCCCCACTAGGGTGAGATGCATTGTGTCTCCGTTTAGATTGTGAAAATATGCACTGTTTGGTTCCCTAGTGACACTTCTGTGACCACCCTAGCGTCAGTCACAGACTCTCCAATTTTCCAGGGACAGTCCAGGATTTGCAGAAGCCGTCCCGGTTTCTGATTTGATCCTGGAATGTCCTGCTTTTCCTTAGGATATCCCCGTTTCATCAGATAAATGTTGGAGGGTACATCACAAACAGGGTTGTTTAGGGTAGACCCCTAGAAATGCTTGAGGAAGGAGCCTGGCTCGGTGGCAGAGCATGTGCTCTGCATGCAGAAGGTCCCGAGATCAAGTCTCAGCATCTCCAAATGCAGCTTGGAGAGGCCCTTGCCTTAAAGCTTGGACAGCCATTGTCAATGTAGACCAGGGGTAAGGTAAAGGTAAAGGGACCCCTGACCATTAGGTCCAGTCGTGACCAACTCTGGGGGTGCAGTGCTCATCTCGCTTTATTGGCCGAGGGAGCCGGCATACAGCTTCCGTGTCATGTGGCCAGCATGACTAAGCCACTTCTGGCGAACCAGAGCAGCACACGGAAACGCCGTTTACCTTCCCGCCGGAGCAGTACCTATTTATCTACTTGCGCTGGTGTGCTTTCAGATTGCTAGGTTGGCAGGAGCAGGGACCGAGCAACGGGAGCTCACCCCGTCGCGGGGATTCGAACCACCGACCTTCTGATCGGCAAGTCCTAGGCTCTGTGGTTTAACCCACAGCGCCACCCGCGTTCCAGACCAGGGGTAGTCAACCTTTTTATACCTACCGCCCAATAATGCATCTTTCTTGATGGTAAGATTTCCTTACTGCCCACCAGTGCTCGATAGAAGGAGGATTCAGCTTGTGCCATAGAACCCCCTACTGCCCACCTAGAATCCTGAAACACCCACTAGTGGGTGGTAGGGACCAGGTTGACAACCCCTGATGTAGACGATATTAAGCTAGATCTATCTCACCTGGTTGGCCACTGTGAGGACAGGATGCTGTCCTAGATGGGCCACTGTCCTGATCCAGCAGGCTCTTCGTATTTTCTTATGTTAATTATTCCCTTTTCATTATCCGTGATAACAGAACCCCCACGGTGTGGATTGCTGGATCTGAGAGCCTTCGGTGAATACATATCCTCAGAGGCACAGAAGCATTTTAAAATGCCAACCCAAGTAAGCGCATTTCTGCAGACCTTGGCTCCCAGAAAGGTAAGCACCTCTTCTTCCCCACCCCTTGTTAAAATCAGGGTAGATGTTTTTCTAGCTAACCCAGCTCTGATGGTTCAGAAAGGAAGATTCGGCATTAAAACAAATGTGGAAAGATTCTGGAGGAAAAGACAAGGGCTGGTCCTCAATAGTGAGGGAACACCATCACCGATTAGCTGTGCCACATTATAAATACACTGATTTTTTTCAACAGATACATGCAACAGATTCTCAAATGCTCTGCAGCACCTCTATTTTCTTCTTTCATGCCCACAGGTCTTTGAGGGAATCCCTTTGCTTCACAATTCTGTTCCAGTGAGGCAGCCTTCTGCAGCAGCCATCATGGCTCCTGGCTTCAATGGTAGGTGTTTAGATGGTATAAGTGGAAGCTGTAATGAGGAACAAAGGGAGAAATTAGGTTCAGTTTGCATGTAATTCGTAATATGTACAAAAATGCATAGACTAGGCTAAAATGTGCATTAAAATGCATGCATTAGTGAAAATAAAATGCCCAAATGCATTTGGGGGAAATTTGCTTTGCAGGGATGTCTACATATGAGGCAAAATTTCACACGAAAATGTGAATATTGGAAAAGAAAAGACATTTATTGGAAAGGAAAAGAAATTTATATACAGCTTAGTTTTAAAAAAACTTAAAGCAGTTTATGAAAAGAATAAAACAAGGAAATCATCAATAAAGAGAGA